TGTGGTCTGGTCACCATGCTTCTAACCTTTACTCCTTACTCCTCACCTAATTGTATGTAGAGGATATTGACCTGTGTCTCTTACCTCTTACACACTGGAGACATCTCCCGTCACGCAGGGTGCCTTCGCACCTCCACAGATCTCCAGTATCAGCTCTTGATACTGGTAATGGCTCAAAAGGGCCACCACTTACGGGCTATTCATGCCCGTGCCACCTTTTGGGTGGCTTAATCTTCATCAATCAATTACCTTTTACACTTCACATGTTTGTATGTACTTGATCTTCCAGTGGTATAAATCCGATACGCCCTGACCTGTCCAATTTACGGGCTATTCATGCCCGTGCCACCTATTGGGTGGCATAATCGTCATTAATCATTCTGTCCAATATTTATGGGCTATTCATGCCCGTGCCACCTTCTAGGGGGCTTAACCCTCATCAATCAATCCTGTCCATTGCTGGCTCAGTCCTGTCCCATCACTTGAGAATGAACCATGTAGGTTCGAAACGTTGAGTAAATTTCATCGGATCCGCGTGTTTAGTTAGTATAGTAACGCTGAGGACCATACTACATATATGACGTTATGGACAGTTAGAAAGTAGAAATAGTTATTATTGAATTTTGATAAACAGGAAAAGGTTTTGTATATTTGTTGCAAAGACAAGCTAAACTAACCTTACCTTCGTAGGCTTAACACACGCTACCTGAGGCCTGATATAACACATATGTGTGCTATATATATATGCACATATAGCACATATATGTGTTATATCAGGCCTAGGAATATGTAAGTTTGTTTTTAGTTTTAGTTTTCGGACTATAAAGTGAATAGTACCAAATTTTACTATCTAATTGCTTAGTACGTCAATGTTTGTATTATGGTGCACATAGTCACAAAAAGTACTATCTAAACAGAAGGATGAGTTGGTAAATATGTAATAAGTGTAATACATTCTACAGTTAGTTGTTCAGTAGTCAACCTCGAACAAATATGACATTTGGAGAACTCCTCTTCCAATTATATTCAACAATATATATATATATATATATATATATATATATATATATATATATATATATGTATATATATTGGGATATACATGTATATTCTTTCGTCGCTGGCCGATTCCCGGTGGTAAAATCTTGCGTGAATGAGTAACATATAATTTCTATCTGAGTTGAAGATCCTCCTGAATATGTGTGGTTGAGGATACGGTCTGGAGCTGCTTGTAGACCACTGGTGGTAAGAAGTTTCTTACTACAACTTCCACTAACTTCGCTCCCCATGTTTCTTCCCCACCATGGGGAAGAAACCCAGACTCCCAGTCAATCTCTCCATGATTTATGTCCCCCATGACCAGAAGTTTAGCTGTCATTCTGTGTGTCACTGTTGCTGCTCTCTGTAATGTCTCTATGACTGCTTTGTTGATGGCTTCATATTCCTGCCTGGGTCTTCTGTTGTTAGGTGGGGGTTGTAAATTACCAGCACCACTATCCTTCCCCCTCTGCTGTCACAGTCCCAGTGATGGAGTCTGTGTATACGTTTTCACTCTGATTCTTGAGTTCTTGAAATTTCCACTCCTGTTTTGCCAGAAGTGCAACTCCTCCTCCTTCTCCTTGCCTTTGTTGTCTTTGAGTCACAATAACGTGGCTAAAGTATGTTGACCAGACCACACACTAGAAGGTGAAGGGACGACGACGTTTCGGTCCGTCCTGGACCATTCTAGACCGCGATGAAGTCGATGCAGGCAATAAATCTTGCCTATTTATTGCATGCATCAACTTCCTCATTACAATCGAATTAAGAATGGTCCAGGACGGACCGAAACGTCGTCGTCCTTTCACCTTCTAGTGTGCGGTCTGGTCAACTTTGTTGTCTTTCTTTCCTTATCACTTGGAATCCCTCTGGGAATATTGCATCAGAAATCATATAATTTATTTCTCTTTTCATTGTTACCTTCAAATCTGGGTAATTTTCACTTACTCTTTCCTTAATTTCCTCTGCTTTGTTAGTAACCACGTCGGCGTTCGTGTATCAAACCTTCAGGCTCTTCCTGGACACCCTGTCCTCAGAGATTTCATTGTCAGGGTGTGTGTGGCAGTCAATGTGTACTCACCTAGTTGTGCTTGCGGGGGTTGAGCTCTGGCTCTTTGGTCCCGCCTCTCAACTGTTAATCAAGTGGTGTACAGATGCCTGAGCCTACTGAGCTCTGTCATATCTACATTTGAAACTGTGTATGGAGTCAGCCTCCACCACATCAATGCATTCCACCTGTTAACTACTCTGATACTGAAAAAGTTCTTTCTAACGTCCCTGTGGCTCATTTGGGTACTCAGTCTCCACCTGTGTCCCCTTGTTCGTGTACTACCTGTGTTAAACAGTTTATGTTTATCTACCCTGTTAATTGCTCTGAGAATTTTGTAGGTAATGATCATGTCTCCCCTTACTCTTCTGTCTTCCAGTGTTGTGATATGCATTTCACGCAGCCTTTCCTCGTAACTCATGCCTCTTAGTTCTGGGACTAGTCTAGTGGCATACCTCTGAACTTTTTCAAACTTCGTCTTGTGCTTGACAAGGTACGAGCTCCATGCTGGGGCCGCATACTCCAGGATTGATCTTACATATGTGGTATACAAGATTCTGAATGATTCTTTACACAGGTTCCTGAAGGTTGTTCTGATGTTAGCCAGCCTCGCATACGCCGCAGATGTTATTCTTTTATGTGGGCTTCAGGAGACAGGTTTGGTGTGATATCAACTCCTAGATCTTTCTCTCTGTCCGTTTCATGAAGGACTTCATCTCCCATTCGGTATCCTGTGTCTGGCCTCCTGTTTCCACCGCCTAGTTTCATTACCTTATATTTACTCGGGTTGAACTTTAGTAGCCATTTGTTGGACCATTCATTCAGTTTATCTAAGTCATCTCGTTGCCTCATACTATCTTCCTCCGTCTTAATCCTCCTCATAATTTTTGCATCATCAGCAAACAATGAGAGGAACGATTCTATACCCTCTGGGAGATCATTAACATATATTAGAATGGCATAGGTCCAATTACTGTACTTTGCGGGACTCCGCTGGTGACGCCTCGCCAATCTGAGGCCTCACCCCTCACAGTGACTCGCTGTCTTCTGTTACTTAGGTACTCCCTTATCCAATGGAGTACTTTCCCTTTCACTCCTGCCTGCATCTCCAGCTTTTGCACTAGTCTCTTGTGTGGTACTGTGTCAAAATGTTTCCAGCAATCCGAAAATATGCAGTCTGCCCACTTCTCTTTTTCTTGCCTGATTCTTGTTGCCTGATCGTAGAATTCAGTTAATCCTGTGAGGCAGGACTTGCCATCCTTGAAACCATGTTGGTGTTGTGTCACAAAGTTCCTTCGCTCCAGATGTTCCACTAGTTTTTTTCACACAATCTTCTCCATTAGCTTGCATGGTATGCAGGTTAGGGACACTGGCCTGTAGTTCAGTGCCTCCTGTCTATCCCCTTTCTTGTATATTGGGACTACATTTGCCGTCTTCCAAATTTCTAACAGTTCACCTGTTACCAGTGATTTGTTATACACCATAGAGAGTGGCATGCACAGTGCTTCTGCTCTTTCCTTTAGTATCCATGGTGATATTCCATCCGGGCCTATAGCCTCTGTCACATCCAACTCTAGCAAATGCTTCCTTACATCCCCACTGGTAATCTCAAGCTCCTCTAGTGGTGCCTGGTTAACTATTCGTTCTTTTATCTCTGGAACTTCTCCTTGCTCTAATATGAAGACCTCCCGGAATTTCTTATTGAGTTCCTCGCACCCTTCCTTGTCGTTTGTATTGAATCTGTCTGCCCCTATCCTCAAATTCATTACCTGTTCCTTCATTGTTGATTTTCTCCTGATGTGACTGTGCAGCAATTTGGGTTGAGTTGGGGAGCCGGTCGGCCGAGCGGACAGCACGCTGGACTTGTGATCCTGTGGTCCTGGGTTCGATCCCAGGCGCCGGCGAGAAAACAATGGGCAGCGTTTCTTTCACCCTATGCCCCTGTTACCTAGCAGTAAAATAGGTACCTGGGTGTTAGTCGGCTGTCACGGGCTGCTTCCTGGGGGTGGAGGCCTGGTCGAGGACCGGGCCGCGGGGACACTAACGCCCCGAAATCATCTCAAGATAACCTAACCTCGAGTCTTAGCCTTGCTCGCTATGTCGTTTTCATATTGCCCTTCTGCCTCTCGTCTCACCTTGACGTATTCATTCCTGGCTCTCTGATAACCTTCTCTGCTCTTTTTCTCCATGTCTCTTTTACCTAGTTGCTTAGCTAGCTTACATCTCTGATTAAACCATGGGTTGTGTGTGTGTGTGTGTGTGTGTGTGTGTGTGTGTGTGTGTGTGTGTGTGTGTGTGTGTGTGTGTGTGTGTGTGTGTGTGTGTGCTCACCTAGTTGTACTTGCGGGGTTGAGCTTCGCCTCTTTGGTCGAACTGTGTGTGTGTGATCTAGCCTTCTCTTTGTGTGCAGGACCGAACTTTAGCTCTTGGACCCCACATCATGTGTTTTCATCACCCACAGCCAGACCCACAGCTAGACCCACAGCAACAACTACAGCACAACATAAAAGACAATGATTCATCAGTTATTCATCTCACAAAACAGGAGCTCAAACGTAACAACTTTCTGGTGGCTGAGAGACCCACAACTTATCACATGGTTCACCTCCAACGGTGACGTGTACGTCTGAATATTTGTGACGTATGGGGGGGGGGGTGAGGTGTTGTGGGGGGGGGGGAGCGGGAGGAGGGGAAATGGGGAGGGGATGTTGGTTTGGGAGGAGGAGGGTTGGGGAAGAGGAGAGAGGGTCATAGAGGATACAGGATTGTGCGGGGATTGGTGGAAGGGAATGGGGAGAGGGGTGTGGGGGTCTGGGGGTGACACATGTGGGATGGGGGGGGAGGCCAGTAGTCGGGTATCTTGAGATCGGAGTGTGTATATATGAATGCTACACAGTATTCATCTATAGACATCCATATATGGTGAAACACATGTGAAGAACCTCTCACACACTCACAGCTCCCTGACAAGAGGGAGCCAGCTTAGCTTAGCTGCCAACACCCACACATGGTGTCAGCAAGGCGGACAGTCCGCCTGCTTTCATACCTCTCACTGTATTTCCCACTTCTATACTTCCCTTCACTTGTGCCTCTCCTTCCTCTTTACTCCAAAAAAAGAGGTTCTCTTGATATGATTTCAAGGCTTAGCGTCCCCGCGGCCCGGTCCTCGACCAGGCCTCCTTTTTGTTACACACCCCCAGGAAGCAGCCCGAGGCAGTTGTCTAACTCCCAGGTACCTATTTACTGCTAGGTAACAGAAGCATCAAGGTGAAAGAAACTCTGCCCATTTGTTTCAGCTTCTACCGGGGATCGAACCCGGAACCTCAGGACTACGGATCCGAAGCACTGTTCTCTCAGCCGTGAGCCCCTCCCCCCCCAGGCACAATTTGATTCTAATATTTTCATTTTTAAGCCGAGAAAGTGGTGAGAATAAGAATGAAAATAAATGAAATTATATTGCCTCATAGGAGATTCGAACCCGGGGTCTCAGAATACGAGACTATTGTCTTACCGTCAGACCAATCACTTGGGCTGGACGGTAGAGCGACGGTCTCGCTTCTTGCAGGTCGGCGTTCAATCCCCGACCGTCCAAGTGATTGGGCACCATTCCTTCCCCCCGTCCCATACCAAATCCTTATCCTGACCCCATCCCAGTGCTATATAGTCGTAATAGCTTGGTGCTTTCCCTTGAAAGTTCCCTTCCCTTGTCCTACCGACCCCACAATTAGGAAGGCTCTCAAGAGTACCTAACTGGTACCCAACTGATACTTTAAATGCTCCTTAGAACACCACAGTGGTATCTGGCGGTACTCAGCCTCTTCATCCATGGCATGCAAGATGCATTCCACAATAGCCTGGGCATTATTTCACTCGGATAATTGGAGATTCGAATCTTATATGGAAATAAATGTTATTCATTTTCGATATTGAGACATTTTTATAGAGGCTAAAGCTGTTATAGGGGTCTCTTGATCTTTGTTTATTGAGCCATGTTGTTCTTGCTATCTTCAGTCATGTTGTTCTTGCTATCTTCAGTCATGTTGTTCTTGCTATCTTCAGTCATGTTGTTCTTGCTATCTTCAGTCATGTTGTTCTTGCTATCTTCAGTCATGTTGTTCTTGCTATCTTCAGTCATGTTGTCCTTGCTATCTTCAGTCATGTTGTTCTTGCTATCTTCAGTCATGTTGTTCTTGATATCTTCAGTCATGTTGTCCTTGCTATCTTCAGCCATGTTGTTCTTGATATCTTCAGTCATGTTGTCCTTGCTATCTTCAGTCATGTTCTTGCTATCTTCAGTCATGTTGTCCTTGCTATCTTCAGTCATGTTGTCCTTGCTATCTTCAGTCATGTTGTTCTTGCTATCTTTAGTCATGTTGTTCTTGCTATCTTCAGTCATGTTCTTGCTATCTTCAGTCATGTTGTCCTTGCTATCTTCAGTCATGTTGTTCTTGCTATCTTCAGTCATGTTGTCCTTGCTATCTTCAGTCATGTTGTTCTTGCTATCTTCAGTCATGTTGTCCTTGTTATCTTCAGTCATGTTGTTCTTGCTATCTTCAGTCATGTTGTCCTTGCTATCTTCAGTCATGTTTTTGCTATCTTCAGTCATGTTATCCTTGCTATCTTCAGTCATGTTGTTCTTGCTATCTTCAGTCATGTTGTTCTTGCTATCTTCAGTCATGTTGTCCTTGCTATCTTCAGTCATGTTCTTGCTATCTTCAGTCATGTTGTCCTTGCTATCTTCAGTCATGTTGTCCTTGCTATCTTCAGTCATGTTGTTCTTGCTATCTTTAGTCATGTTGTTCTTGCTATCTTCAGTCATGTTCTTGCTATCTTCAGTCATGTTGTTCTTGCTATCTTCAGTCATGTTCGTGCTATCTTCAGTCATGTTGTTCTTGCTATCTTCAGCCATGTTGTCCTTGCTATCTTCAGTCATGTTGTCCTTGCTATCTTCAGTCATGTTGTTCTTGCTATCTTCAGTCATGTGTTTCTTGCTATCTTCAGCCATGTTGTTCTTGATATCTTTAGTCATGTTGTTCTTGCTATCTTCAGTCATGTGGTTCTTGCTATCTTCAGTCATATTGTTCTTGCTATTTTCAGTCATGTGTTTCTTGCTATCATCAGTCATGTTGTCCTTGCTATCTTCAGTCATGTTGTCCTTGCTATCTTCAGTCATGTTGTTTTTGCTATCTTCTGTCATGTTGTTCTTGCTATCTTCAGTCATGTTGTCCTTGCTATCTTCAGTCATGTTGTTCTTGCTATCTTCAGTCATGTTGTCCTTGCTATCTTCAGTCATGTTGTTCTTGCTATCTTCAGTCATGTCGTCCTTGCTATCTTCAGTCATGTTGTTCTTGCTATCTTCAGTCATGTTGTTCTTGCTATCTTCAGTCATGTTGTTCTTGCTATCTTCAGTCATGTTGTCCTTGCTATCTTCAGTCATGTTGTCCTTGCTATCTTCAGTCATGTTGTCCTTGCTATCTTCAGTCATGTTCTTGCTATCTTCAGTCATGTTGTTCTTGCTATCTTCAGTCATGTTCTTGCTATCTTCAGTCATGTTGTTCTTGCTATCTTCAGTCATGTTCTTGCTATCTTCAGTCATGTTCTTGCTATCTTCAGTCATGTTGTTCTTGCTATCTTCAGTCATGTTCTTGCTATCTTCAGTCATGTTGTTCTTGCTATCTTCAGTCATGTTCTTGCTATCTTCAGTCATGTTCTTGCTATCTTCAGTCATGTTGTTTTTGCATTTTTTATTTATTATTTTTGTCATTTATGACTGTGGTGAGGAACAGTTATAGAACATTATTCATGTAACTGGGCTATTAATCTATAATTTATTGTTAAGACAGGTGAACAGAGACATCAGGGTGAAAGAAACTCTGCGTATTTGTTTCCGCCTCCACCGTGAATCGAACCCCGAACCTCATGACTACGAATCCCGAGCGCTGTCCACTCAGCCATCAGGCCCATTAAGCACGTGTACGTCCACCTACGAAACCTGTACATCTTCCCTTCAACATTAAATAGTTGATGAGCTCAGAAGCACTACAGGTTGTTTGCAACAGTAATAACCTTGGGTTGGGTAGTTTCCCTGCTCGTAAACTGTTTTAATCATTGTAAACAAAGCTGCCTTGATGGTTGGAAGATGTAGAGGTTTCGTAGGTGGACACGCGTAAACGCTTGATGAATCTGGTTTCGTAGGTGGACACGCGTAAACGCTTGATGAATCTGTAATTATCGCAAGATACGTCCAGGTAAAACTGAAAGTTTGTAATTGTTCGTGTTGACTTTGAGGGACTTAACCTTGTAAACACCTTGCCTTCTCCTGGTCGTTTGTCACCCATTTATCCCCAGCTGCTCGGAGGACGGGTCTAGCCTCCCGTCACGCAAACAACCTGGTTTGATTAGTACGGCAATTTGTTATGGGAGACGGGAACATCCCTCTCTCAACTGGCGGTGTCGGGAGCTCCGTCATTTGCAGCGCTGGTTACACCCTCGCCGCTACGGAGGAGGAGGAGACGGTAGAGGGAGACTGGTACTTTTGACCGTGTCGTAGCTCAGTCAATTAAGGCAGCGTCTGGGATGATCTCGACGGACGTAGGTTCGAATCCTCGTCACGGCCCTTGTGGATTTGTTCATTGGTACTTTGGGTTGGAGGTTAGCCTACACCCTACATGTGTACATGCTACATATGTGTACACCTTACATATGTATACACCTTACATATGTGTACACCCTACCCTCGAGGTCTCAATGCTTTTAGAGCAACCCCTCCCCACCCCTTTTCCAGGATGGGGGGGGGGGTCCCTGGAAGGGGATTGTTTCCAGGTGAGCTGTACGTTTCAACAGGTGGTGGGGGGGGGAGGGGTAGAGGGGCGGTCTGGATCATACTCCAGTACTAGAGTATACTCCCAGTCCTATACTCCAGTAATGGAGGTATACCTCTCGGTTGATGTATTCTATCTTGGAGCAGAAAGATGGAAGTGAGAACCACTTAGCGTTATAAGGCTCCGTGTCTGAGGTGTCTTCGTGTTCTCCCGATGGGGCTAAACATTTTGTGCTTGAGTGTAGCAGCTGCGAACCCCATCTCTAAGGGTTCGTGCTTATTTGCTGTGAGTTTCTTAACGTTGTGTGTGATGCTTACTCTCATCTCCCACCTTCTCTTGTACTCCAGCATCCTGGTCAGTCATCCCACTTCAGCATCCTGGTCAGTTATCTCTCTCTAGCATCCTGGTCAGTCATCCCACTTCAGCATCCCACTCCACTTCTCCAGCCTCGAGTGAATCGAGCCACCTAAAGTTATTGAGTGGCACTGTTCACATTTTCACACAATGTCTCTCATTGTGTCCTGTTTTCTGAGAACTGCCTTATTCACTAGTAATATATTTCACGTATGACCAATCCCTAAGGTCACATGCGACTTATTCACTCGAGACTCCGAGCTTCCGTGGCGTAAGTGTTTTGCGCACTCATTTAGTGATAGGATGAGAAGAATTGGGTTCCGTTCCTGGATCTCGTTCACTCCAGTGACTGTAACGGGGGTTACTGGATGCATCCCGATTGGTCTAATGTGTTTAAGGAAAGTGAAGTTGGAATTAAGCTGTTGTTTGGAGATTTTGTATTCTGCAAAGTGGATGTTTTAGATGTTAAGTTGAAGCTCCTGAACCATCCAGTGTATAGTAGATAAGAAACACGAGTTGCTCAAGCATTTGGGTGCTAGTGATGGTATATCTCTCCCACTAATCCTTATTCCTGCCCTATTCTATTCCTCCTCTTTCCTCTCTTTCCTGCCTATTCTTCCCTCCTCTCTTCCCCTTTTCCCTCCCATCTCCCCTATTTCCCCTCCTCTCCCCGTCCATCTCCCCACCCCCACTCTCAATCCCTCTACGTAGCCCCCTCTCTCCCTTCCAACCACGAATAGATAGACATTTCCACATATATATATAAAGCAAATTATAACAATACGCGGGTAAACGGCGGGAACAACTTCAGCAATGTCACTCAATCATCTGAACATAGTTTTACATGCCAGTATCTGAATGCACTAATATTTAAACACATGTCTACGGATTCGGGACAGAACATTTTTATATCCACTGACTTCGTGATGGGGGGTGCATAAGGGGCGACCATTCTTCAAGGGTGGCATGAGGGCCGACCCTACTATGAGACTCTTAATACATTCAGCAGTAATCCTGACAATTTTAATGAGGTCGCCCTCAAGTATATGGTCTCATAACTTGAACATCAGAGAGAGAGAGAGAGAGAGAGAGAGAGAGAGAGAGAGAGAGAGAGAGAGAGAGAGAGAGAGAGAGAGAGAGAGAGAGAGACTGTGAGAGAGAGAGACTGTGAGAGAGGAGAGAGACGGTGAGGAGAGAGAGGCCTGTGAGAGAGAGAAGAGTGATGGAGAGAGTGAGAGAGAGAGAGAGAGAGAGAGAGAAGAGATGAGAGAGAGAGAGCGAGAGAGAGAGGAGAGAGAGAGAGAGAGAGAGAGACTGTGAGAGAGAGAGAGAGAGACTGTGAGAGAGAGAGAGAGACTGGTAGAGACTGGAGGAGGAGAGAGACTGTGAGAGAGAGAGATGTGGAGAGAGGGAGAGAGAGAGAGAGAGAGAGAAGAGAGAGAGAGAGAGAGAGAGAGAGAGAGAGAGAGAGAGAGAGAGGAGAGAGAGACTGTGAGAGAGAGAGAGAGGACTGTGAGAGAGACTGTGTGAGAGAGGACTGTGAGAGAGAGAGAGAGAGAGAGAGAGGAGAGAGAGAGAGGAGAGAGAGAGAGAGAGAAGAGAGGAGAGAGAGAGGAGAGAGAGAGGAGATGAGAGAGAGAGAGAGACTGTGAGAGAGAGAGAGAGACTGGTGAGAGAGAGAGAGAGAGAAGAGAGAGAGAGAGAAGAGAGAGAGAGAGAGAGACTGTGAGGAGAGAGAGAGAGAGAGAGAGAGAGAGAGAGAGAGAGAGAGAGAGAGAGAGAGAGAGAGAAGAGAGAGAGAGAGAGAGGGAGAGAGAGAGAGAGAGAGAGAGAGAGGCAGAGAGAGTGAGAGAGAGAGAGAGAGAGAGAGAGAGAGAGAGAGAGAGAGAGAGAGAGAGAGAGAGAGAGAGGAGAGAGAGAGAGAGAGAGAGAGAGAGAGAGAGAGGGTGCAGGGGAGGGAGGGGGTTGACAAGTACCGACACATCCGGCCCCACACAAGATGAAGGTGGGAGTAACGGAAACACAGATTGAATTAATGAGGAAAAATACCAGCCGAGCATCACACTCTGATTGGTGGGTGAACCTGAGTTATCGCAGAGACGGAGATGAGCCCGGCGGAGAAGCGAGGGGGGGGGGGGGGCGGGGGTGGGGGAGGGGGGACCGTGGGAAAATGCGTCACACCGTGGGAACCCGCCCCTTGGCTCCTGGCCTTGGTGTCGACATTATTTACAACCTGGCTTAAAATGTGCTCCTTGGCAAAGGGAAACGAACACTTATTGTATGTATGACAGTGGGGCGAGATTCGCTCCAGCAGGGAGCAGTTCCAGGCCATGCTACCCTTGCGGGTCGTGACTCAGCAACAAGGAGCATCTTGCTTTAGATGTATCATACATCTTTAGCATGATGTATTATGTATGATGTATCATATATCTTAAGGTATGATACTTCGCCTCCTTAAGCAAAGCAGGCGAAGTATCATACTTTTCTTGTTGTTTAAGATTCAGCTACTTGGAACAAAATGTTGCAAGTAGCACGGGCTATGGTGAGCCCGTAGTGGACTTCCTTGGCACAGGAGCGGGGCTGTAACTTTTTGTGTGTTGTTCCTTTCTCCATCAAGTTGGAGAATGGCCCATACGAGGCAGCTGCTATTGGTCCATACGAGGCAGCTCCTATTGGCCCATACGAGGCAGCTGCTATTGGCCCATACGAGGCAGCTCCTATTGGCCCATACGAGGCAGCTCCTATTGGTCCATACGAGGCAGCTCCTATTGGCCCATACGAGGCAGCTCCTATTGGTCCATACGAGGCAGCTCCTATTGGTCCATACGAGGCAGCTCCTATTGGTCCATACGAGGCAGCTCCTATTGGTCCATACGAGGCAGCTCCTATTGGCCCATACGAGGCAGCTCCTATTGGCCCATACGAGGCAGCTCCTATTGGTCCATACGAGGCAGCTCCTATTGGTCCATACGAGGCAGCTCCTATTGGTCCATACGAGGCAGCTCCTATTGGTCCATACTAGGCAGCTCCTTTTGGTCCATACGAGGCAGCTCCTATTGGTCCATACGAGGCAGCTCCTATTGGTCCATACGAGGCAGCTCCTATTGGTCCATACGAGGCAGCTCCTATTGGTCCATACGAGGCAGCTCCTATTGGTCCATACGAGGCAGCTCCTATTGGTCCATACGAGGCAGCTCCTATTGGTCCATACGAGGCAGCTCCTATTGGTCCATACGAGGCAGCTCCTATTGGTCCATACGAGGCAGCTCCTATTGGTCCATACGAGGCAGCTCCTATTGGTCCATACGAGGCAGCTCCTATTGGTCCATACGAGGCAAGCTGCTATTGGTCCATACGAGGCAGCTCCTATTGGTCCATACGAGGCAGCTGCTATTGGTCCATACGAGGCAGCTGCTATTGGTCCATACGAGGCAGCTGCTATTGGTCCATACGAGGCAGCTCCTATTGGTCCATACGAGGCAAGCTCCTATTGGTCCATACGAGGCAGCTCCTATTGGTCCATACGAGGCAGCTTCTATTGGTCCATACGAGG